TTTGGTAAAACACCCTTGCTTATTAAAACTTTAAATACTCTATTTGCCTCCTAGATGCCTAGGAGCAGAGAAGAAGATTTTCAAGAAAATAATCCATTTTCACTATAGATTCAATATAGCCCCACACTAATACCAAAGACCTGACCCGGGGGCAGGATATTCATAATTTTGGAAAAGGTACTTTTGCTCATCATAACCATGTACTTAGTATGTTTATTTAATAAGAAGAAGCAGATAAAAAGATTTTCAAAGAAGTATTTCTACGATATATTCAAAAGAGCCTCACCCTAATACCATAATCCTTGACCCCCGAGTTTTGAATTTCAAACTTATTGAAAAGATTCCCTTGCTCGTCATAACTATGCAATTAATTTTTCTATTAAATACGCAGGGGAAGAGAAGATTTGTAAAAGAATGCATTTACCCTAACCTGGAGGCCAAGATATTCACAGTTTTCGAAGAGTTGCCCTTGCTCGTCTTAACTATAGATACTTGGTTTATCTTCTAAAACCTAGGAGCAGAGAAGAAGATTTTCAAAAAAAAAAAAAAAAAAAAAAAAAAAAAAGCACTTTCACTGTATAATCAATAGAGCCTCCTTTTCCCGGAGAACCCCTCACCCTGGAGTCACAAATTTCATAATTTTGTAGAGGCACCCTTGTTCATCATAACCATGCACCTAGTTTATTTGCTTTATATACAGGGGGAGAGAAGAATTAAGATATATAAACATAACTTTCTAAACGAGTGTACATGAAAGAAAATATGCATCCATTCATAGCTTTACAGCACAAAGGGAATTTTAATGTTTATTGAATAATTTAGAATTGTAAAAATTAAAGTAAAATAAAATAGAAATATTTTTTTTACTTAAAATTGTATATAGTAACCCCCCACCCCCATTTCAACATATTAAAGATTAGCCTATATTAAATAAATAATGGATTAAACAGATTAGAGCATATCAAATCAAACGAATTACGATAACTTCGTTTTTTAACCCAAAAAGTAAACATTTGTTAGATAATTCAATTGTAGAGATAACATTGTTTATGTATATAGGTCAATATAAAAAAAACAGCCAAATGGTTTACATGAAAATCGGAGATACAATGAGATATTTCTGTTTCTTTTTTAATGTAAAATGAGAATGCAACACAATATTTTGGGGAAACAACATTTTGCAAACAATAGGAAAAGTATTTTTTTCAGAAGAGCCAAGTGAAAAACTTTGGGATGCAAGCTATGATAAAAATATGCTAGGATTATTCCAATTCACTGATAAGTCCAAAAGTATCATTATCCAGTGTTGAAAATTAAGTTTCCAATCAGATTTGGACATTGACATGAGACAATAAATTAATGGACACGTGCTAAACTATGCTTTAAATGTGGTGTCATGTGTGTGAAAATCAAAATAACGTATTTTATGATTTTTTTCAAGGAATAAATTAGGTAATGTAAAGTTATGTCTAACATTTAAACCTATTAAAAGTCAAAAATAACGAATCTTTGGTTGATTACTCCACTGACTCAGCTGTAACACCAATGACCGAAATTAGCAATACCAATGACTTAACACTTAACAGTTAGCATTTAAACATATTATAATATAAAACTTAACGTGAAAAGTAGAATACACTGTAACACCATTGACCATTGACCGAAATTAGCAATACCAATGACTTAACACTTAACAATTAGCATTTAAACATATTATAATATAAAACTTAACGTGGAAAGCAGAATACATTGTACTTCTAGCATACAAAAAATAAAATCAGTTTCTGAGATTTCATACTTTAAATGTTCTTATAACAAAAAGAAAACTGGTAACACCACTGACAATGACTTATCCCACTGTCATCATAGAATAATACATAGCTGCAGGAGGTGTACTGTCATTTAAACATTCAAAGAAAAACTGAGTTATGAAGATTACCTTGAATAAATATTAAACAGAAACCCCCTATTGCAAACTTTAACCCCCCCTTTTTTTTTTAATCCTTTTCTTCAATTAAGCCCTACACATACGAGTATACTGTATACAAATGCATGGTAAAAGCTGGAGGAAATACAGTGATAGTTCATCATTGGTATGGGGAAAAAATGTCGGTGGGGTAAAAGAATCTCAATTGTGCCATATGTAATGTTTTAAATTTCATATTCTTCATAAAGAAATAGTAGATAAAAATGTATTTAATCAAAATCTCTTGTCACTGGTGTTACTTCAGTAGTCATTGGTGTTACTATAAAAAGGTAATTATTCGTAGAAAGATTAAACAAAACTAAGTTAAACTTTGCTAATTTTACTTAACTCAGATTATAAACTTTGAAATTCGTTCATCACCTGTACATTATTCAAAAGGGAAGATATATTTTATTAGTGTAAAAATGATTGTCATTGGTGTTACATGTACTGAATAAAGTCTCTAAATGGAAAAATAATTTATTAAAAAATCACTCAACTCGCTTTCAAAGACCATAAATTAGGTGGCATAGTAGAATACAAATTAAATTTTCTCATAAGAAAAATATATTTTGCCTCCAAAAGTACTTGTTTTGTCAGTGGTGTAACCATACTTGTCATTGGTGTTAAACTTGAGAGAGTAATACCAATGACGTATTAGTCATAAAATGATCTGTCATCTTTATTTGACACTGGATAATGTAAAGGTCATGTCCACTTCATTATAAGTTCACCCAAAGAACACATTTCGTTAAAGAGTTTAATGAATATCAAAAATTGTTTTGAAATAACGATGAAAACACCACTGACATAAAAAGATTGTACTAGCTATAGTCTACTTTCTTTACTTCAGAAGTCCATCAATATGTTCTGACCATGAATATCATGGAACAGCTTCTGTTGTTTTTGATGAGAAGACATGTAATATGACTCAGGACTGCTTATGATCCCTTATCAGGATTGAAAACTCTTTTGTAGCAAAAACAAAAATAGTAACACCATGACACAGCTTTCTTGTACAGTCATATTCAATGCTGTATCAGTTTAAGGGAACATTGGGCTCATATTTTTTATTCGTAGATATATTCTTTTTAACATTTATTTTATACATACATGACTTGTTACACTAAAGTTCAAACCATTTTTAGCATATTTATCCTTATTTCAAGAGAAAAATTCCTTTGACAGTAAGAAGTTGGCCGATTGGTGTGATAAAAATCATCCATTGACTTAAAAGAAATTAATTATATGAAAATTTCTATTAGTCATAGAAGGTATAGATGTCATAGATTGTAAAGTAACAACCTAAAATGGAGAGAAAATAAAAAATAGGATTTTAAAGGAAGTGACACGTTTAGCTGCTTTTTTTTTATAATGACATACGTATGCAATGTCACTGTTTTGATTATCTGCCCTTTGTTATAAATTCTCTAAAAATAGACCCAAATGCATACTATCCTGTTGAAGAAAGGACTACGTGTCAGGAAAACAGACGCTAAAAATTAAAAAAAGAAAAGAATATCAAAAAAAAAAAAAAATTATGGAGGCTTGAATCGCTGAGTAAGACATTATAACTGGTAAGTACAAGGAACAATGAGTGAAGGATGAATGTTAAACCTACTTGTACTTTCATTTTAACAGTTTAACAGGGGTCCTTGTCAATTTACAAATATCTAGTATCTGTTATAGATTAAATATATGAAAGAAATTGCAAGCATAGTTTTATTTAAAAGAATGTACTTTGTATTAAAATGAAAAAGAATGTACATAGAGTACTTAAGAAGAATCGATTTTTAGTTATTAAAGTAAAATCGTATATGAAATACTTATATTGCAGTATGCATATTTTCAGAACAAGTGAAAAATAGCCTCTCTCTATAGAGAAAATCGTATACTTTGATTGATAACAGTTCGAAAGTCTGTATAATTTGCCTTTTTTAAAAATAAATCACATACGTGATGTTTTATTAGGCTTACGTAAAAAAGTGTAAAGGATAACAGTTTAAAAAGATGACAAACAAATTGAAGTAAACAAAAAAACCCTGCGAACACAGCAATGTTCCGCTCATTATATTACGCGTGATGTTTACCGAACAAAATGAATGTACCCACAACGCCGATCATTTTGGATTTCTAAAATTGTCCGGCTTCATAAAATGATTAACTGAATTAAATAAGGAAGTTTTTCAACATGCATTGCTGAATTGATTATTGAATCAATGTGATAGGTTCATGTTTTGTAGCACTTGGTTGCATATCATATTTCACACACACACACACACACACCCTCACACACACACACACAGACACACATTAATTTACACCGATCATAAGAAAGCCCTTAAATTCAATTCTGAACTGTAAATAAATAATACTTTTAAATTTTAGAGTTATCACTGTGGGTTTTGTCTGAAACTAGAATATAATTTGTTGGTATTCAAATTTTCCTTAAGAATACATAGTAAAGTTTTTTTTAAAAAAAAAAAAAATATTTTTACCATAGTAACTTTAAGTATCAAAGTTTTTACTTTAATAAATCGAAGTACCATAGTACTAATTGTAGTAAATCACAGTATCAAAGTTTTTACTATAATGATAAATATATTAACTATGATAAATTCAAGCTCCAAAGTAATCATTTTTGTGAATCAAAATATCAAAATGTGTACATTGACACTATATTAGATTACTAAGATTTGTGAACAATACTATTATAATAAAATATAGCTACTATAGTGAACTATGGTAAATCAAAGTTTCGTAATATTTGCCAAAAAAGTTCCATTGTATTTATATGGTAAATCATATTTTCATTGTAGTTAAACTGTGAAAATTATTACTATATTAAATCAATGTATCAAAGTTCCATAGTCTAGCAAACATGTGTAGAAGTAAAAATGTAAAAAGAAAAATATTTAAAGGTAAACTTCAGCTGGTAAATTATTCAGACAGCACTGATATTTGTCATGTTTCCTTTCCATCGGATAACCCGTACATCCAAACATTCTAGGTTTTGAGTGACTGTACTATCATCATGGACGGAGCCGCGAAATTCCTTCAAAGGAAAGGCTACATTGTGACGACACATCCCAAAGACAAAAACTCATTTTATTACAGTCTTCAAACTGCACTTAATACAGAGAATGGAAAAAATGTAAAGCAAATGCGTGACGAGGTATTCAAACTTGAAGTGGATAATGCTTTGTACTTCCACCTATTTCATCCACAGTGTGTTAGCTGCGATGGGACAACACACCCTAGAGATTGTCTATCTAGTGATCTGGAAAGGGTTAAAAAAGAAAAGAAATATGTCTCTCCCCGAGAAGTTTATGCTGCAGCAGAACTTTTACAACAAAACATATTTCTTATTCGTTATGATAGATCTCGCAGCGAGGACATGCTTGGATTTCGGGGGTACATCTTTGCTCCTAGTATCAGAAAGTGTCTTGATTCAGAGCCAGTATATATTCTGATGATTGAAAATCAAGACGGTTCGGTAGAATTCGGCAATCTTGATTTCAGAGATCACAATAAAGATCTGAAGTCTTGTCCCTGGGATCTGGTGAATGAAGAGCACAAAAATTGTTTTGGCTTACGATTCAGAAATAGTTTTCGTTTGCTCTTTGATGGAAGTGTTAGATATGGAATAAAAGATGACGTCAAAGATTTGTATCGTCGTCTGAGTTTGGAATTCTATGGCAACGAAGATTACCATGATCGCATACTTAATATTATTTGTAACTTTGAACTGGAAGAGGACAATCTGGATCTATTTTGCAAGTACGCAGATAATACCATCAATGAAGAAACAACTGTTTCCGAAAAAGAGAGACTTTTGAAGATACACACAGAGAAAGCAAAAAATCGACAGAAACCTCCCAGTGATGGAGAACTTTATGCCATATCGTCAGTTTTCAACGTCGACATTGTTGTTGATAAAATGTGCAGAGGTGACTGGGAAACCTATATGTCAGTCGCATGTACATATGCCTGCTGCTTTAATTCTCCAATCCTTCTGCGCCTGCAGACGAGTCGTGGAGAATACATGCCGTATGTTACAGCGCCAGGAGAATGCTCTTGTCGCCAGAAAAAGCCAGAAATACAAGGTCACATTGGAAAAATCAAAGATGATATCCACAAAGCAGTGTGTAGGTATTTTTATTCTCTTCATATTAGAACTTGAAAAGTAAAGATTCGTGCCTTCCGGGTTCACTTTATACAAAGGATCCAATGGTAATATTACAAAGCCCTAGAAAACGCCTACTAATATGTATGTATGTATGTATGTATGTTGTACTTTATCGGCAGTTTTCTGCCAAAATTGTACGATCTTGAACGGAAGAAGAGAATCCTGATTGATATACAAATAGGTTCTTTCTAAGGTTGGATATTAATTACTAATAAAAAAAAAATATGGTTTGCTTATTTACTACCTCAAAAAATGTTTTTTTAAATAAAAAAACCTTCTTTTTCTCAAAAGAACCTAAAATACTGTAAATTGTAATAGTAATTTCGTTTGTTTGTTTTTTTTTTAAATATTTATCAAAATTTAGTATCATGTGATAAAAATGTAACATTAAAACGTTTATTTTCAATGTTTCTTCCTTTAGTAAGAAACCCATGTTGTCCCCCGAGTGGGAAACACCAAAATCACACACATCTAAAAAATATTCCAAACTGCAGGACATTTTGGCCTGAACGAATTGATTATATTATCCCCACGGAAGACATACATTTGATAACAGTTCGACTATTGGCTGAAGAACGACGACTTGATCAAATAAATGGTGGAAATGGCACTTTATCCAAGGCCTTGTCTAAAGAATTGTACGGGGATGAAAGTCAATATTTTTCAAGGTATTTAGTAATTATCATATTTCAATAACACTAACATAGAGAAATGAAATGAAAATAAAAAAAGTTTATGGAAGATTTGTAAATATTATATCATATAAGCTGAAGGCTGAAAGAGCTAATTTTATGGTCATTTTTGGGTGTGCGTATACCTTTATAGGTCACCTGAGTTACTCAGGTGACCTATTGCTATCTCTTTTCGTCCGTCGTCGTGCGGCTCTCAATTAAGGGAGATAACTCTTATAACTGACATATAAACATTACATATTTTCTCCCGTATAAAGGCATAAAAAATATTACTACTTAAAACAAATAGTTCCTCGGCATTCTGTGGGAAAAGGCTATACCACATGAATGTGTGATGCTTACATCTGATCATAAATATATGTATATGAACTCAGAGAATGGAAAAAGTCGGTCTCCAAGTGTAAGTCATTAGAGTCCATAAAATACTGTCTTGGCCATAACTCAACAAGACAAAGAATGAACATTTTGACGGTAAAACCAATGACCATAAGAATTAAACCAATGAGATCCATCTTCATAAACAAACTACCAATGAAAACCAATAAAACACCAAAAGCTTTTGACCTGGCCTAAGGTAACTAATTATCTATGTGCAAGTTTACAGGTAGAGCTAGGGATATAATGGGGTGGATCCAACTTTTTATGTTTATCTATTATGGTAGTTTAATTTATTTACATTTAATTTAAAACATTTATTTATCAAGTATAATCCACACTACTACAGTTTTAATAAGCAAGGGTATTTTTACCTGATTTATGAACATCTCGACCATTTGATTCAGAGTTCTGGGTAGGGCTCTATTAATTTGTATTTTAATGAGAGAAGTTATTCCCCTTTTCCATTCACCTTTGATTATTAATCACTGTAAATAATGTATTTAAAAGGTTAATAGAACAAGATAATTATGCAAGAATTTTTATTGTATAATACAAAAAGTACTTTCTTAGTTTTAATAATCAGGTAGACCTGTAAATATTAGATAAATAAAAATGAGACAAAAATAACTTATCTCATTCTTATGTCGATACGATATATCCCGGTGAGCTTGAGATAAAAGATACCACAGAGTCTGACACATCTGTTTCATATTTGGATATTTTACTTGAAAAAGACGTTAATGGTAATCTAACAACCAAGCTTTATGATAAACGTGATGACTTTAACTCTTCAATCGTCAACTTCCCTTACTTATGCAGCAATATACCTTGTATATATCTCTCAGTTGATTCGATACGCAAGATCATGCTCTACGTATGTAGAATTTCTAAAACGAGGTAAATTATTGACAAACAAGTTGATGAAACAAGAATATCAGCTGTCTCGTTTAAAGTCATCAATTCGTAAGTTCTATGGTCGATCGATACAATGACCTTGTCAGCAAATACAATTTATCACTGAGTTAAATGCTGACTGACGTTTTTCATACTAATTGTTAGGCCATTATTTACACACTGAATTGTCGACGGATTTTTCTGTTATTTCCCGATCATGACAAGGAGCACACGGCAGGTGTGACCGGTCGGCAGGGGATGCTCACTCCTCCATGGTACCTGATCCCACCTCTGATGTTTGGAGGTCCGTGTTTGTTCTGCTCCTATTTTGTAATGTTTAATGGACTTTTGAGCTTGAATACTGTTCGTTATCTCCATATATTTCATGTTCTTCAAAGACCAAGAAAGGTCAATGTGAGAGGTTTATATATGGGTTTAAAAATAAAACAGGAGCACTAAAAGTTTGTTAATAGTCTGCATGGTGATAGTGATGAGTGGGGGACAGATTAGAACTTAATTTATGTGTTAATTCTGAATATTAGATTTTGTTGATCCTGATCATCCTACTTCTCTTGCTTTTGGGCAACAAAGCTTCATCTATCAGTTTATTTTATACTCTATGGATCCTGTGAATTGTTGAATTATACTCAGGTGACCATTAAGGCCCTTGGGCCTTTTGTTTGGACAGTAGACTCTATCTCATGACCAAATATTTATCAAATTTACAACAGAGTATCCCTGCGCTAAGGACTTTTATTTATGTTTGACAAGGGGAAAGTACCCTAAAGAAGTAGAGATAATTCGGGAAATTAAAAAAAGGAGTTAAAAAAGAATTCTACCATGAACCACTGAGCAGATTATCACAGAGCTTAAACATAAGGATGATTATATATTTTATATTACAATTTGTTCAAGGCATCGCACTATTCGAAAAGGACATAGCCTCAATATCACTTCAATTGCTCTACACTAAAATGCTTGTTGAAATTTGACATTTTGTCAACTGTAAGGACGTAGTTCAGCAAACCTTGGCAGTTGATGCATCTTGGGACCTCAGGATATGTTTACCCAAAATGAGACTGACCAACTTGTATTCATTTCAAAATTCTTATAGATGCCCATTTTTGACAATGTAAAGTCTGTGTATCAAAGGTTCTCTGGGTGTGCCAAATTCAAAGGAGACGTACCTCCCGAATCTTAAGACTATTATAGCTAAATATCAAGATAAAAGTTCATCAGAATTTGTTGGTTGTATCTTTTTGAATCACAGTGACAATTTTTGCAATTACTGAATGTTTTGTATAAATTCTTTTATTGTTAAATACAGTGACCTTCAGGATGCCTTAGGAAACGAGACTCTGAATTTCGATGAAAAGATGCAAAGAATTTCTGATTGGTTGGCTGTCTCCATATACGTATACCATGGTATTGCAAATCTAAGCCAGTTGAACTACTCTCAAGGGTTTTTCTGGACAAAATATGAACCCGCTCGTTCACGTTCAGTCCAGCTTGGTGGGAAAAAAGAATGCAGGTTTTATATTACGCTATTCTACAATCGTCTTAATGGTTCTTTTGATCGGATAATACCCCTTAGAGGCTGTAACTGTGAAATTCCACCACCTCTTTCCTTACTTCGAAACTACCAGGGTAAGTTAAAATTATAACATGAAATGCTGATATTGATATTATTGACATTTACATTAACAATTAACTTAACAGTTTTACATGTATTTACATTCGTAAAGACTAAATTCACATTCTTAGCAATTACTTTAGAGAATGTTCTAAAATTCACCCCCCCCCCTCCCCCTCAAACTTATGACACATATCTTTTTGCAAAGGGTACAGATTAAACATGTTCAATTGTTTTTGCCAGACATGGAGTCTCAGTTTGTATTTTGTGTGTACCCAAAACAACGCCACCACCCTCTGACCACTTTCCTAACAGAAGGCCCTAACAAAAAAATGTTCATGATGGAAATAAGAGATTTCCCGGTTTGTACGCCGTACTCTTCGCTGCGCATAGTGATGCAAAGAAATGATATGAAAGGACGAACCATTGACTCCATTCAGTTTTTCGAACACTCTCTACTCCGATGCTTAAGCAAAGAAATCTTTGGTACTGAACAACATGCAGATCTATTACTGAAAGAACTATGCGAGGAATTATTGCAAAATATTAATCCTTACTTACAGGTCCTTGGAGAAAATATCATTCATTCTTACGAGGTAACATTTGGAAATTTACCACAGGGTAAAAAAGACAGCCAAAAACTGGCAAAGTTTGTGATTGGGAGAATGGAGTATGATCTTCCTTGCGATGATCTATTGTTATGGCTTGCCTGTACATTTTTCCAAACTGATATTTACGTCCTTCGGGTCAAGGACACAAAAACGTCAACAGAAAGTTCCTGGACAGAGTACTCAAAGCTTAGAACCCGAAGGAGGAATCCAGAGAAGACTAAATGTTTCACAAGAAAATGTCCCCAGAATAAAACGCCCTATATTTCTCTTCTGCAAACAGGAAGCAAACAGTTTCACAGAATTGTTCCAAAAATGGCTTGTTGTAATTGCGTTTTAGATATACCAGATGTTTCAACTACTGAAGCTGACTCCACGCCATACCATACACAGCAAGGTAAATATAAAAATTCAATAGCTTTTGCCATGGTTTCTTATTCTCAAAATTGAAAGAAAATGAACTGCCTCTATTTATAGTTTTTCAGACTGCAACCTGATGAGAGAAATAAGAGTAGTTGATACTTTATTGGAAACAGCATGTGTAGCCGTAGAGCAGTGGCTCTTGTGTAGTCAGATTCTGCAGAGAAGATGTGATTTGGTGATAAGTGAAATTGAGGGTCGCCGCAAAAATGTTAATATCGCAACAATATCGGGTTCTGGGGCTGGGATTTTAGGAGCAGTATTGACAGGTGTTGGAATAGCGCTCTCACCGGTTACTGGAGGAATTTCTCTACTGGCTGTAGGGGGAGGGGTTCTGGCAGTTTCAGGAGGAACAATTGCTGCGGGAGCAAAGATTACTGAAAATTACCTGAACAGTGGTAGAGTAGACACATTAAAGCGGTACCAAAACTGTTACCAGGAGAGATTTGAGCGCTTACAAAATGTAATAGAGGAATTGAAAGGGGAAATAAAAAGGCTGGCGGAAGTGTCGACTGAAATCAGAACCAATCAGAATATTGAGGCATCTGACTTCGCCGCAGGGATTCAGAGCTTACCGGGTATTTTAAGAACCGTGAAAGGTTTAGCAATGATCCCCATAAGCCTGCTTAAGGTGTCAGCCAGAGGGATAACAATTCTTGGTGCAGTCATTGGGCCGCTAACGGCGTTGTTTGATGCAGGTCTATTGGCATTCTCGGCTTATAATATGGCGAAAGGAAACCGAACTGATTTGACGGAAAACCTTCGTCGAATATCAGTATCTCTATATGGAGCTAGAAGGCAGATGCATAACTGGGCGTACGGGAATGGGAGACCTTTCTATTACGACTAAAGAAAAAGATCTACGGAGCACAAAGACTATGTCGATTAAAGAAATTGTCATAGTTTGATGAGTATCATTAGACAAATGATTTTAGATTATCAAGTATCAGTAAATGTAATAATATGTAGATGATCGTTGGAACAATACCATTCTGTATTTATGTGATGTTGTCAGGAGTAATTTATGTGTTTAACATTTCTTCCTCTTTGCTCAAAATTGAGGATAAATTTTGAACAATAACTTGTTAAAAATAAGTAAATGGATGGAATTGTATTAGATCCATCAAAATGAAATCATTAAAAATGTATTTTCACTTGAAAAATTAGCTGTCAATCCGATTTTTTGTTGTGATTTAAATGGAGGATACACAATGATGAAATTTATTTCCCGAATTTTTTTCAAGATATTTTCCCGAGTTCTTAGTTTGAACAACTAAACAACTTTAATTTAAACATGTGACAAAAATTAATGTTAAAATACAAAAGAATAGATTTAACATTGAGAAATAGTTGTTGCGTTATTTTTCACATTTGTTAACATATTTTTGTTAATTTCACTGTGTGTAAAGAATACGTCTAAAATGATCCTTTTTATTCAAATTAAAGTAAGCAATTACAGTAATTCACTGTTGAAAATGTAATAAGTAATTCCTTATTAAAGTATTTTTTTTTTAAATTTCGATATGGGTACTGTAAAGTAAGCCCAAATACGTTTAATAAGATATGTATTTAATGGCTTTTGTAAAACGTATCAATCAATGTCTATTGAGTTTTGAATATTAAAAAAATGCTGTTGTTCATTGCAAAACGGCAGTGAGCAAATTGCAGTGTGAATACTTACTGTGTTCTATAACATTAAACTGCTTCCTTCGAAGAAACTCTTTGGAGCTAGACATGCTTCTTATTATCTATTTAAATTAAGGATGGCAATTTGTAACCGGTTAACCGATTGAACGATGGTAATCAATTAGTGGAAAAAAATATGTGCAAATTTGAAAGCAATATCCTGAAAACTCAAGTTAAAAACTACCCCCCCCCCAAAAAAAAAAAACCCCAAAAAACTGAATGGTAGTATTTTCACCCATTCATATGATCTGATTCTGGGATATTCTAGGCCCTCCGGAATGACATCATGGGGATAATTGTTCAGTTTGTGAGATGCTTATTGCTGTTCAAATACCATGACGTTACCCTTAAAAAAATATAAAGTATAAATTGTCAGAAACGTTTGCGATCGTGCCAAAAAATAAAGCAAAAGCTGTTTATGGGTGTGTTGGTGCATAACTGTAATTAAGTCAACAGGAACTTTTTCTTTTCGTTATTTATCATAGTTACGTACATTCTGTGTGCTCCTTGTCATGGTCGGGAAATAACGGAAAAATCTGTCGACAATTAGTGTGTAAATAATGGCCTCACAATTAGTATGAAAAACGTCAGTCAGCATTTGACTCAATGATAAATTGTATTTGCTGACAAGGTCATGATCGACCATAGAACTTACGAAATGATGACTTTAAACGAGACTGCTGATATTCTTGTTTCATCAACTTGTTTGTCAATAATTTACCTCGTTTTAGAAATTCTACATACGTAGAGCATGCTCTTGCGTATCGAATCAACTCGGAGATATAAACCCCGTATGTAGGTGATGAATGTATATTGCTGCGTAAGTAAGGTAAGTTGACGATTGAAAAGTTAAAGTCATCACGTTTATCATAAAGCTTGGTTGTTAGATTACCATTAACGTCTTTTTCAAGTAAAATATCCAAATATGAAACAGATGTGTCAGACTCTGTAGTATCTTTTATCTCAAGCTCACCTGGATATATCGTATCGACGTAAGAATGGAAATTACCATTCTTAATTGACAATACGTCGTCATTATATCTAATTGTCGAGTTGAAGGCCACAGCAAGTGTTTTTTTTCTTTTCACGTATAAGATTTTGGACAAATTCTGCTTCATATGAATACAACAAAAGGTCTGCTAATAACGGGGCACAATTGGTACCCATAGAAATTCCAATAGATTGTTGGAAGACCTGGTCTCCAAAAACCACATAGATATTGTCAATCAGAAACTAAAGCATCTTTTTAATGTCAACGTCAGAGCACTTGTGTGTACAATCAGAATGTTTTTTAACAAAATAATTTGCAAATGACCAATGACAAGGTAAGTAAATTGACGAGTTCCACTTTTATTGAAAAAGCAGCGGTCAATGATATCAAACAAATGGATTTTAATTTATCGTGGGGAATGGTTGTGTATAAAGTTGAAAAGTCGTAAGTTTTTAAGCTTTTAATTTTGGTAAAATCTTGTGATTTCAAATTTTCCAAAAGTTCCTTGGAATTTTTAAGTATCCACATCTGATTTACACCACTTCTCGAATATGTTGTTGCACAGTACTCTTTACGTTTCCCCTTCACTACTGTTAATATCTTAGTGAGGAGTAAAGAAAGAGGCTTGGTTGAACATTTACTGGAACCCGCTATGTATCTTTCTTTGTAAGGATTTTTATGAAGTTTTGGAATCCAATATAGATATGGTAATTCAAATTCATTTTGGTTGTTTGGAATATTAAAAATATTCAAAACTGACTTATGATTTTGAAGAATTTCTTCCATAGAAAGAGAACTTTGAGTATAGTTGGATTTCCACTTGTAGAATTAAATCCAAGTTCCTCTAAAATATATTTAATATAAGGAGCCTTACAAACAAAGACAATGTTGTTACTTGCTTTGTCAGCAGGGACTAGTACCTACTGATCATGTAATCTATTTAATTCTTTTTTCACTTCTGGATTATTGCATACAGAAGGATAGATGGTTCTCATATTGCATATCTCATATTTTTTCAAAACAATCGTGAAAAAGATTGTTTACCAATATTTCCTGTCAAGCATTATAAGATATTTTATAAAGTCATCTGAATCACTCAAGTGACCTACCATATTGTTATTTGTTTCCATCCATGTTTGTGAAATGTGAAGTTCATGAGCGTAAACCTGTGAACATTTTCAGTTTCTCTCAAACGGCGTAACAATTTCAGCCAATTTGGGAATATTAAAACTAGAAATGAAGGGCAACAGAGAGTTGAAATTCATGGTGTCTATCCCCATTGAGCCCTAGAATTGGGGACAAAATCAACTTTCATTTAATCTTCGAAAATTCTCTCACCTTAAATGTCCATCACGTACATAATACTCTGATATTGATTAAAAGCATTTTACAGTAGAAAAGAATTTATCAAGAGAAAGTTTCAAATTGTAATTTACGAAGCAGTGATTAATAAACAAAGATTGCATTCAAGTCTATGGGACAAAGGATTTTTTTAAAAATAAAAATCCAACTAATAAGAATGGCAATAAATACTGTGATGGAAAGCTGCATGAAAATACTAGAAATAGAATGACAATTGAAAAAGATTTTTTTACCAGATAAGTTTTTTAAAATTAGTTTTTTATTAATTAAAAACAGAGGGTGATAACTCTTACCAAAATTCAAGATAATAAATTAGGGAACACTTACATCCCACACTTGCTCCCACACTTACATGCTAATAGTAATAAATGGGAATTATGTCCAAATATACTGAGCATTCAACCCCTGCACATCTGTTATGTATTCATTTTCATTGAATCTTTTGCTATTAGGATGGAATACCTTAACTTCTTTATTGCTGATTCATCATCCACCTTCTTCAGCTAGCTTCTGAATGCCTGGCTTTCCCAAAGCTTTGCTTTTGTATACCTTTTGGCTAGTCCATTCCAAGGGTTGTCAGGTCATTCCTCTATTTGACGTTTTTAATGCGTTTTACTCAAATACCCCTTAACCTTTACACCTATATACTCCTATGTAAAACTTTGACCCAGGATACACCTTTATTAATATGACTAATCATGGCTTTGCTGTTCTCGAGAAGAAGATGTTCGTATGTAAAACTTTGACACCCTCTTGAGGCCCCGCCGAACCCCGGGGGTCATGAACAAATTTGAATCTAGAGTATGCAAGGAAGCTTTCACAATAGTTTCATCTTTTCTTGCCCAGTGGTTCTTGAGAAGAAGATGCCTTTAAAAATGCCGCCAAATTTTCACGAGTTCTTTATTATCTCCCCTTGAAATAAGGCGCGACACTTCCTGTGAAAAAACTTAAATCCCATTCACCTAAGAATGGCAAGTTTGGTTAAAAATGGTCCAGTGGTTCTTGAGAAGAAGTCGAAAATGTGAGAAGTTAACAGACGAAGGAGAAGCCGGACACTCTTTGATCAGGAAAGCTCACTTGAGCCTTCGGATCAGTTGAGCTAAAAAGCCATCTACCGATGACCGCTTATTTTAGAGCAGCTGTCCACAATTCCGTGGTTAAGTTAAAAGTTATATTCTTCTGCGAGCCATGAGGCTCATAACGCCGGGGCTTATACCCGGTTTCTGTGGTACTTAGTGGTCAAAAATGACCTCTCCTGGATAGGAAGTCCATCGCAGGTCAATCCCCATCGTAAGCCGGTACCTATTTCAGCTGGTTGGATTGAGAAAATGCAGATAAAGTGCCTTCAAGGTGTTTAAGAACAAAACACACTACATCGTGACTCAACGGTGCTCGAACCAGCGACCTTTGGGTTATTGGCCTAATTTACACCTTTGACCACTTTTGAGTCCTGTGAAGAATATTATTAGAATACATCAATGAAAAACTATTAGGAAAAATTATATATTATTGAGGAACGTGTTGTCTGACCTTAATAGAACAGTTTAAACTTCAATAGAGGTGGGTTTGAATCGTGGTCAGGCTGGTAGCATGACCTCTCACTTTGTACTTAGTATGAAGTTAACATTCTTGCAATCTAATCAAAATTTTAAAATGTTTAATTTGCCCGCAGACTTGGTACGGTGATAACATCTTTAATAAGAAAGACATTTTGATAAAATAAAATGTGCGGCATCATTTTCTGCGCAAATAAAAATCTCAAAGCATGGATAAATGAATTGTAGAATAAAATTCACGTGGTGTGATATTCTTTTCAAATGATATATTTGTTGCGGGTTTTTGAAGTCCGCTGTTCTGTAACCCCGACAATATGGATGACGATTTACAGTAAACTTTTCTATGTTCAGTCATCTTGTAATGGAGCAGTAGAAGTGATGATAGAGTAACACCTTTGTAATTGTAATTTTTAAAAGCTTTAACCATTAAATTTCTCTAAATAAAGCATTAACATCATTCTCATCATTATAGTGTAAAAGGGTATTTGAAGTTACCATTAACAGCACAATATTTCTAATTAGCGGACACCTTTCTTTTGGAGGGGTAATACATATATAATTAGAAAAAAGGATACCCAAAATTCTCAACAAAGAGTAGTATCATAAATCGAAGTTTTTTTCAAGAGATGGGTCTATACTCTCAGATTTACCTGTATATCTGTATAAATTTTCATTCCCATAGAACTACATGTATATGCTAAAGAAAGGTCTATCATATATTAAATGAAATCCCTTTTTAATCCTCCCTAAAAGGGATACTTGTCAAACAGTATACAATGTATTTGCATGTTTTACGTATCTTGATGACCAAGAGCGTTTCAAAGGGAGAAAAAAAAAATGAAAATGATCC